CTTGAGTCTGTGGGGGAATCAGTGAGGGAAGTGGAGTCTACAGAGAGGATTGGGGGATTGCGGGGCTAGTGGGGTCCATGGAGGGGGTTGATAGGAACTGCGAGGGTTTGGCAGGATTGGGCGGCAAGTGGGGTCTGTCGGGGGGTTGGGAGGATCGGAGGCACTAGTAGATTCTACAGATTCCAGCATGGTAGCATCCAGGAGTAAAGGGGGGCTAGCAGGGTACACAGGAGGTGCTAAGGGGGATGGTGGGGTTCCCCTTTCCCCCCTCCCCAGGGTCAGGGGTTATTTAACTGCCCCCCTAGGCAAACCTACTCCCCCCAATCCTGCCTGCCGCTCCTCCCATCCTCATTTACTTCAATCAGCTCCAGGCACCTGTGAATGCTGGTAAAACTGGCACCAGGAGTGGCTTGTAGGATGGGGCACTTGGCAGGCCTGGAGGAAGCTAGTTGGTCTGCCAGGAGAGAGAAGCTGAGAGGCTAAAAATAACCCAGTACCAGGGGCTGTGCTGGGAACTGTACAGAACTTGAATTAGATCAGTCCCTCTGGACTCAGCCTAAGTTAGACTACTTCTGAGATGCAGTTAACTTAGACTGGGTTGGCCATTTTTAGACTGATCTAACCTTCCTGAACTTCTGTACAGTTCACACTTAAATCCCGAGTTAGGTCAACCTAAGTGTGAAGTCTGCACCTGGCCAATCTAAGTTAATTCAGGTGGCCATTTTTAATACAATCTAACCTTACCATAACCTCCCTGAACATCTGTACCTAGTCTATATAACCTCTACCCCTTCTATTGAAGCTGGCCCCAGTGGGGCCAAAAGGCATGCTGTGGCCAGAAGGTCTATTGCTCAGTGGGATAGTCACTGCCCCCAGAGAGAGGGGCCTTACTGGACCTGGTGCCTGCCCCTGTCCCTCTGTCAATTGTATCCAATGTCTATAAAATACCAAATGCAAAAAAAAGCATTGAGGACAGGAGCAGAAACCAGGCACACTCCTGCCCCGGCTAATGTTAGTCAGATAAGAGCCATTTACTTACCTTAAAGGGATTTGGATTTAGGCCCAGCTGTTTAATGCAATGACAATGCCCAAAAGTGATATTTCCCAGAATGTATAAACCATACAGCATCCCTGCATTAGAGTTACAGCACATATAACAGGCAATTCTCTCCCTGATCCCAGAAAAGAATAGCTTGCCCATCCAACCAGACCACACTAATATAGCCACAACATACATATCGTGAGACTTATCTCATTTCTAGTTGGCAGATACAAACATAACCAAGTGACACAGAAGGTACTTCTAAAGACAGTAACAGATTCAGGAATGCTGTTTATGCATTTTATATAACAACTCTAACGCAAAATGCATAAGCAGTCCCAGAGCAGAGGAAAAGAACCAGCATTTTCCCGTGCTAGTCATACAACCTCTTGCTTGCTGTTCTTCTGGTCCCATGATGAATGTATTCCTTTCTACACAATGGTGCAGCTTCAACAGGATGAAATCTCCATCCAACCTGGCTCCTAACCTGGTGGTTAGGGCTCTCCCCAAGGAGACAGGAGATGCGGGTCTGAATCCCAAAGGAAGTTTATAATGTAACAAAACAAAACAAAAAAACTGCACCCAGATCTCCTGAGTCCTCAGTTAGAACCATAACAATGAGACCATCCTTACTTCTGCTGTGATTTGAACACTTTTAATCATACTTATCTTTTTGTCAATAGTTACACTTCTACTCTTTTCTTTATTTTCTAGATCCCCTTGTAAAAGAAGGCACCAACCTAATAGGGTGTCCCTGACGGAGTAGTAATGAAGCCACACAAAATAATTATAAATACTACAATTTGCAACTTGTGGTTCAGTTCCATTGGACCCAAGCAGACTCAGCCAGTGTTGAGTAGCAATCACATAATCTGGGTGAATGGTATTCTTTGCACGGTCTAAAGCATCTAAGAACTGATCTCTCTCTTCTGCTGTCAAGGAATGGATGTTCTTCCGGACAACTAGTGGCTTCTTTTCATCACAGTTGGAGCCAGTCCAGCCAAACTTGCAGTTACCACAATTATAGCCAGCAAAGTTCCCTGTATTAAGAGAAAGCATGGGTTCATGAAATAGTGTAAATTAATCAGAACACAAATGAACTGCATAATTATTTCATTTGTTAGTCTTCCTTGCCTCCAGAGATTTCAGTTCTTGCAGTGTGCAGCAGCTGAGTAGATTGGCTGCTTTGCCAATTGCTAAACTAAAAGGATGGCTTATTTCCCAGAAACACAGCAGGGCCAAGAATCACATGAGGCTGCTTCTCATGGTAAAGGCTCGGATAAAAGGCTTGGTTCTGAAAGGTGCTAAAACCTTTGGGCCCTGATTGTCTAAAGTATTTACATGTCTGAGCAGCTTCACTGAAATCAAGATTAAGCACTTCAGCAAAAGATGTTATTGGGTGCTGCTCCTTCACTGGGCCTCCTGTACTCAGTAACTTCCAGGATCAAACACTAAACAGAGTTGTCTGACAGATACTCCTGCTCTTTAAATATATTTTAAAAAGCAGGAAACAAGCTCTTTCATTGTATTTAAGCATGGGATAAAGGCAAAAGCCTGAGAACTACAAGAGTCTGTGTCATGGTAAAAATGTATAAGCGGGATCCAACGTATAATCATAACCTCTAGGAACCACTGCAAGGATATCGATGTTGGCATACTAGAGTATCATTAAATGATGCTGTAATCCTATGTGGGAGTCAGAGAACTAACATTTTGGGGGGTATGGATGTTTACCTTTACCGTTAATTAACCATAAAGTCCAACACCATTAGGTAAATCTATGTTAAGTACTCTCTGAGCCAGCAACTTAGTCTCCAACATTACAAAATAACTCCAAAGACTTTGTATCAAGAGCCGCAGTAATCCCTATGCTTCAGTTTCAGCAAATTCATACTTTCTACAGCCAACTTACCTTATATCAAAGTTCAGTTTCTTCTACAGCCACTTCATCAGGTTATTTTTGCTAATCTTGTCAGACATTGGCTACAGTAAGTGACATGCTCTTATAACTATTTAACAATGGAATCTCTTTCTGTTCTTTCTAACCCAATCATCTTATGTACTTCAACAAGCTAATGTCAGAATACCTTTTTCTACTTAATTAACCAATAAGTTTCTCTTAAAAAATTGTAATGGAAATATAATATTATTTAGTTCAAAAGCTAAACTAAACTTTAGGTTTTGCACTCCAGAGTGGAAATTAAACACATGTTCACAATACACAAATTAGACATAGAAATGGAAGGAGAGGCAAGAGTAATTACTGATAAATATTACTTACAACTTTTCAGTGAACCTAAAGAATTGTATTACCCAACAACTGCAGTGACATGCCAGAAATCATTTGACTGCAGTTCTCATTTACAGTAATCACTTTTAGTGAGTTTTGAAAAATGTATGTCAGATGCTTCTCAATTACTGACACCTTGGAGTTTGTATAACTCAGATTAAAAACTAGCCCAGAGTTTCCAAATGAAGAATCCTTTCAATTTGAAGTTGATACCTCTATTAAAATAATGCCTTTTGGCATAATTAGCAATACATGCTAATTAACAGGTCCAGATGCTAATGCCTCCATTCAGAAATGTTACTTGCACCATGCTTTTTCTAATTCCAAACACACAGTGTATCCAAAGAATGAACTGCTTGACCACTGTTCATTCTGGTATAGTGGAACCAGTCCGGAATTGCAATCACTCCATTTCATTTTAAGAATTTACCCAAGTCAAGTCAAATCTTAGTTACAGTAGGAGCACTTAAATGAATGGAAAAAATTATGCCACAGATTCAGTGTCACCATCTGAAAAGAATGAATTACTTAGTGTTATTTTTCAGTTAGATTCATGCCAGGACATACTTTGCAGTTACCAGAATATTGAGTCAACCTTGTACAGAAAACAAGTTTTTGAAAGAAATGGGTTTACCACCACAATTCTCTTTAGGCACAGGAGGAAAGGCACTGGATCTCTCAGTTGCATTAATCAGAATCTAGTCTTCAATTAAAAAAGAACTAAGGCATTACATCTACTTAGGACTAGAAAGGGGAAAGAAAACTGTACAGTACAGTGCATCACTCCACTGAAAAGCTAAATTCAGAAAATCATTAAAGTAGCCTGAAGTTTTAAATGTGTCCTCAGTGGAAGTTATTTGATGTTCAGCATCAAGTTAAAATGAAGCTATTTATTGGGATATTTCACCAAAATCTTTAAGCTCTTTCTGAAAATCTTGGTTACCATTACTTTGAAAATGTTTCTCTGGTACCCCTAACTATGAGCTACACCAGTCAGTCCAATAAAATCAGACTCCTATTATGTGAAGTTACACACCAGCCATCTAACACAGGGGTGGGCAATGTTTTCTAGGGGCAGGCCAAAATGACCCAGCTTGGGCTACAAAGCTGCCACCACTATTTGCCCCTGCTGCTGCTTAGCTTCAGCATGGAACCATGTGCGAGAAACCCCCTGCTGCATCCAGCCCACAGGCCATATATTGCCTGACAAAGACAAACACAAAATATTGTCCAACATATATTTTAAAACATGGATGTTCAGAAACAGCCAGTATAAAGAATTAAAGGAAAAAATACACAAATATAAAGACTCACTTTGAAGAAACAATTAAATATGAATCCAGCTCCTGCATTACCACCAGGGATCCTGGTCTTCTCTGATTAAAAAAAAAACAATTTTTGAATTTTAGAAAGTAACCCAAAATCCATATTTTTCTGTGATTAAAATGAAATGTCACTAATATATATATTAGTGATGGTTACTTTTTAAAATCCAAAAATTGGAGGGGGGTTCAATCAGAGAAAACCAGGATCCCTGATGGTAATGCAGGAGTTGGATTAATTTTTCTATATATATA